AGTCTTGGTTTGCCTAGCTTGGTACAAGCCCACCAACAATGACTATTCCCATTTTTATCATCTTTGTCAGTTTGCTGAGTGTGAGGTGAAACCTTAGGGTTGTTTTGGTTGTAATTGTCTTAGTATTAATGGTTTGTAGCATTCTTTCTTATGGTTGTTAATAGTTTGCTATTCTTTTGTTCTTATCTATCAACATAAATATATATATATGTACATGTGTATACACACACACACACGGTTATACATCTTGGATGCAAAGCCCCTATCAGACGAATTTGCTAAAAAGGGTTCTTCCTGCTCTCCGCCCCCCCCCCGCCCCCCCCCCCCCCCCAATTTGGACTACTCTCATAGGTTCATTAATTTTGTTTTTGTTGTTCTTTATTTCTTTAAGGGGCATTTTGTAAATAAATCTTTAAAAGTATTTTGCGTGTTTTGGTAGATTGATTCCCAGATACTTGAAGAATTTTGCGGTTATTTGGAATGTAATTTCCCTTTCCATTTTTGCCTCTAATTCATTATTATGTAGAAATGTTGATTGTTGAAGCTTTATTTGCAACCTATGACTTTGCTGAAGCTATTAATTGCTTCAACTAGTATCTTTGGTGATGCTCTAGAATTTTCTACTAAACCATCATGCCGTTAAGCAAATAGGTATAATTATAATCTTTTCCTATCTTTGTACCTTTGATTTCTTTCTTATGATTAAAACTTCTAGAATTATCTTAAATATTAGAAGAGACAGTGTGTATTTGTTTTATTCTTGTGTTTTTTTTTTTAGGGAAAGCTTATATACGCCTTCACTGTATATGATTTTGTTATTTTTTTAGGTAGTTACTTTTCATTATATTAAAAAAAGGCTATACTTTGTAGAGTTTTTTTTAAAAGCATTTATACTTTATCAAAGGCTTTTTCTGCATCTATTGATATAATATGGTTTTAAATGTTTTTGCTTTTAATTTGTTGTTGATTTCTTTTCTAATGTTGAACCATCCTTGCATTTCTGCTTTAAATCCAACTTGGTCATGATAAATTATTTCTTGCATGAATTGCTGAAATCTGTTTGACAGCGTTTTATTGAAAATTTTTGAGTCAGTATTCATTAATGATATCGGTCTATACTTCTCCTTTTGTGCTTTATTCTTCCCTGGTATAGGTATTAGGAATAACTTTGTCTCAGAAAATGAGTTTAGTTAAATGTTTTCTCAAGTTTTGAGAATACTTTGTATATTATTGGCGCTAATTCTTCTTTAAAGGTTTGATTGAATTCTCCTGTGAATCTATCAGGGCTAGTAATTTTTTTCCTTTGGTAATTCTTTTACTGCTAGTTCTAATTCTTTTTCTGAGAATAGATTATTTAGGGTTTAGTTAGAGGTGTGGCTGTAACTCCAAGACCCTTTTAATTCAAGTTTGTTTGGGGTGCCAAATAGACACTCTCACGCCATTGAACCTTTAACAAAGGAGACTTGCCCTTAACACCGCAAGAATATCCAACAATGATACAGTGGCAGGTAGCTTCTCTGGATGCAGGTGCTCCCCCACCCCCATCTCATTCTGTAAAAGGTTTTGGGCAGTAGTTCATCAAGTTTTGCTAACTAGCGTGTTCTCAGGGCCCCACCAAATCTAAGAAATCCAGACTCTACCCTGGAACATTTTATGCTCCTAGATGCTGGCTTCTGAGGTTCCTGAAAGCTATAAATCGTTGATCCTAAGATACTATATGTTATGTTTTTTGTCTTTTTAAGAATGGTAATTTTACCATTTTTTTATAAATAGTTTAAATACTTTGGTATAATTTTTTTTTTCAATCTTCAAGTCTTCTAATTTTTTTGTTTGTAAGAGACCTTAGAGGGTTTTCCAGCCCCTACTGATATTAGTATTCCCTTTGATAACATTTCCATCACATGGTCACCCAGCTTGAACAACTCCAGAGAGGCAATAGGCTGTCCATGAAGTAGTGGAGCTTCACTATTTTTAGATCAAATTGTTGAGACTTCTTCTTTCATTGAGAAAAAAAAAATCATCCCTGTAATTCAGGTTAATAAAGTCATGTATTTAAGACTGAAAGGAACCTTAGATGTCATCTCTTGTGATGCTGTCATTTTACAGTTGAGATAACTGAATCCTGACATGACTTGTCCAAGTCACAAACAAACTAAGTGAGCCAGGGTTTGATCCCAGATTTTTTCTCTCTTTACTCAGTGCTATTTTTATTGTACCCTCCTAATGATTCTCTTTCGATTCTCAAAAATCATGTAGGAAAAATATTTGTCCCTATGTTCATAAAGGTAGTATACAGTGTATATGTGTCTCCCTTTAATGGAATGGTTCCTTTTTGAAAGCAAAGACTTTGAATGATCTTTTATTTGTGTGTCTCCCAGTGCTTAGCACCATGCTTTGGGCATGGTAAATAATAAATATTCATTCATTCATTCATTCATGCATTCATGCATTCATTCATTCATTCATTCATTCATTCTCTCATTCATTTCTAGATCTCTTGCTCTACTAGGTTTTCATATTGGTTTAGAGAGGATGACATTGACCTTATATGCAGTAGTGATTTTTCATATGCATCTTTGCCTCAGCTTGTATATTTGTGTGTGTTCCTGTATTTTTGTGTTTTTTCTTTTGACTGCTTGTCAAATTTCAGTTATGTTTACTTTGGTCTAGAGCTTTTAGGGTTGTTGTTTTTTTTTTTTTTTTTTGTCACCCAAGACTGAATCTAATTCTCTTTGTCAAATATTATTTTCTAAGTATATTTTATGGTGGGAATGATTCATAGAGAGTTCTTTCCTCTGAGAACATGCTGTGATCCCATTATAATTTTTAGTTACAGCAGTAGATTTTTTATTTTTATTTTTTGCTTCTACTCTTCAATATTTGCCCCATATTGCTTCATTGTATCTCTTGATAAATATTTCTGAGTGATTCATTATAAACTTAAACATCAATAGAATCAAGTAAATTTGTTTTGTATCTATTTGTATTTAAATAAATTTCAATATATGAAGTATCATAACTTCTCGTGTTCTCTTAAATCTCCATCAGCATTATTTGTCCATTCTTTCTCGTTTGCTTCAGTTCCTCTGGTTTCCATTTCCTTTTTTGTTAGCATTATTTCATCAAGGTCTTTCCATATTTGTTTATGTTCTTCATATGTTTATCTTAATTGCATTATAGAATCCCATTACAATAATGTACCGCAATTTATTTAACCACACCCTTATTATTAAACACTTATGTTACTTTCATTTTTTCCATTACAAATAATGCTGCTACAAAATCTATGAAGAGATACCTCTTTTGTTTTGTTTTTGTTAGCATTACCAGGATGTATTGTCAACAGTGGAATTATTGAGTCAAAGGGTATGATTATTGTTATAATTTCTATTGCATTCTAACAGATTGCATTCTAAAAATATTCCTTTTCTCTTATTCTTTTTACAAAAACTGACCTACCTCGTAGAGTCATTAGGGTGGAAAGTAAATTTTGAAGACTATATATATGTACATTTACATATATTTCTTCTGTATATGTATATACATATAGTTCTTTTATATATATTGCGTGTATTTTTGTGGGTATCTTTTCTTTTGACTACTTGTCAATTTTCAGTTATGTTCACTTTGGGTCTAGAGCTTTTAGGTTTTTTGTTTGTTTCGTTTTGTTTTGTTTTTTGCCACTCAGGTCTGAATCTGATTCTTTTTCTTTGTCAGATATTATTTTCTAAGTATTTTTTTTTCGGTTGGGTGTGATTCATGGAGAGTTCTTTCCTTTAAGAACATACTGTGATCCCATTGTAATTTTTAGTTACAATAAAAATATTTTTTCATTCTATTCTCCAATATTTGCCCCTTATTATTTCATTGCATTCATTGATCCATCTCTATCTATCATCCATCTATCTATCTATCTATCGATCTATCTATCTATCTATCTATCTATCTATCTATCTATCTATCTAT